TATAAGTATTATTTCTGGCGATTAACCGGATTTTGTGTGATCTCGATCTCGATTGGTTTTGGGTGGACATTTTTCCCTAATGTTGGAGGCTATAAATTGAATTTAAAGTGTTCGAAATTTAAATCGATTTCATTTTAGACCGTTTCCGTATTATTGTTTTCTGAGGTGTGTTTCGATTATAGTTTTATTTTCCAGTTGTAATTTTACATTCACGTTTTCTCAGAAGTTGAAGTTTTAATTACCATTGACACCTGTCCCATCGCACTTTGATCTGTCCGGCTTGTGTTTGCTTTTATTTTATTGGGTTCCTTGTACTTTCGTTATCAGTACAATTTTGTTTGTAATCACTTATTTAGGGATGATTATCTATATAAATAAAAATCAATGTTTGTAAGTTATGCCTCCCTCCCTAAACCATTTATCCGATTGCGATTTGAATTGGTTGTATGCCCTCGAAGGTTTCTATATTAATAAATCGGTATGAAATTTTGAGGGCGTGCGAGATGAGGCGAAACCAAGCGTATGTCCAATAAAACGAGCTTTCCCCAAGTCTGTACGAAGTCACAATCTCCTTGGCTTTTTCTTTTTATATCAAACCAGAAAAGGAACCAACGGAATTTTTGAGACGTCCCTTTTTAATCAATAACCGATCAGCATCTTTTGTTTATAATGCAATTTTCGTGTGGAAGGTCTATTTTTATATGTATATGTTGTATTTGCTCAGAAAAGAATAAAAAGAGAAATGCAAATTTTACGATTTTCGGATACGAAGATCCTAACGACATTTTGTAGCATCGGTTCATTTGGAAAAGTTTTTGGGTCGTTCCCTCTACCACCTAATTCTCGTTGGCACACTGTTACACTCTGCATACAAAACCTCAAATTGATGATATTTTAGTTTTTACCACCCGCACGTCAGTAAGGAAGGTATTGCATTGGGGTAAAAAATGATCCCTCCCCCACACACTTTTTTTTTCTTTTGGGGACGTTTGGCGCGTTACGTCGTTGATTGCAGAGTTAATTGCAAATTTTTAATCGTGGAAGTGGTGTGAGAAGTTTAATACGTGTTGTCCGTTTACGGAAAAATGTATTGTCGAGTTGAAAAAGGAAGCAGTAGAGTACAGCGAGGCCTTTTATTAAGATTTGTTTCTCTTCTTATTAAAAGTTAAAAGTTTCCACCTCGGTTTCCACCGTCCGAACAGACACCCAAAATTTTTTCATCTAATTCAGTGTTCTAAGGCAAAGTGAAGTTCGAAATTTATAAGTAGCGAGAAGTGGAAGCTCGAAGAAGAAGTTCAGAAGCATCAGAGAGCAATTGCAGGGGTTGAAATACCTAATTGTTTTATTTCTCTATTATCTTAAGAAGACCGTGTGTTACGAAACAAGTTTTATTTGTTGGGAAAAAATAATTTAATCGCGGATGTTTCATAAAGAAAAGGAATAAGAGAGAAGGAAAAAATATTATAAAATTTTGGTGAATCAAATGGAAGAAAATACAGATCTCAGATAAGAGCAAGCCAAAAGGCGGAGGAGTCGCGCATTTTAAGGCAAAAAAGTTGAAAAGCAGCGGTTTCGAAGGTGTAAATTAGAAGATATTTGTTAATCAAAGCAATAGGGGGAGAAGAGCGGGAAAAAGATCATGGGTAAATTTAGATAAGGAGGAAGAAAAGTTAAAACAGGAATGGCTTTTTTTTTATTATCTGTTTAATTTAGAGAGAAAAAGTTATGTAACGTTTATGTAGCATGGCGGTTTAAATAGTCCCATTCTAATTTGTCTATTTTGTTTATTTAATTGTTAAGAATAAGAATTTACGTGTTGTAGGATAAGGGACATTATTTGCGTAATTCGTAAAGGGTTTATCTCATGTTTTTCCCCTTTAGTAGATAAGAGTCGCTAAACATTAATTTAGTTTGTATTAAAATCTTATGTTATCGCAGGTGCGCGTTTAGATAAGAGTATTATGCGTATTTCCGTAATAGAATTAGGAAATGGAATCGCAATGGGGGGGGGGGGATAAAATAGAGGAGGAAGTGAGGCCGCCGCCGTGTTTTTGCTGTTCGCTTTTTGCCGTTAAATTTGATGTCGGGTTTTTCTGCGGCGTATCGGCGTTTTAGGTATACATGATTAAAATGTGTTTTATTGAAGTAATTACAGTACCATATTTTGTGCTTGTGATTGTGAGTTGTGCATTATTGGAATGGACATTGCAGTGTAAGGATGATTTTTGGATTATTGATAGTATCAAGGTAATCAAGACTTTTTTAAATCTGTTTTGATCGAGCGCTTGCATGCGTGATTTTTGTCGCTGGCACTGTCGCTTATTTTCATTTCAGCAATTATATTGTGTTTAAATGTACAGTTTTGTAACAGTTTCGTATTAGAATGAGCCCAAGTTAAGACCTAGACCTAAATGTCGAAAAATCGAAAATAATATTTGGTAAGGGTTGAGAGGGAAGTAGGTTGGGAGCAGAGCTGGGCAGTATTCGATTTTGTAAATACTTTTTAGTATTCAAATCCTTTAAAGTATTCAAATACTTTGTTATTAAATACTTTTATGGAAGCAGTATTTGTATTTGTAACTCAAATACTTTCACAAATAATTAGTATTCGAATACTTCGCAAGGTATTTGAATATTTTGGGAAGTATTCGAATACTTCGTATAGTATTTGAATACTTAACCTTCCTTTTTTTACCAAAAATCGACTACACCCAAATTTCTCGGGAAAACACTTTTTCTTATTAATTTTGGTGCGTAGAATCCAAAACAATTCGTACTTTTTCGATCAGACTTCTCAATCAAAGTTATGGGCTAGAAACCAATTTCGAAAGAAAACTTAAAAGGGCTGTAACTTTTGAACTAGTAGCCCAATCTTGGAACTGTTTGAAATTATGGATTCTACAGGCCACATTCTATAAGAAAATTTTTTTTCGGGTCGATCTGAGAAAATTTTTTTTGCGGGCCTCAAAAAAAGGCAGTGTATAACCTTCCTTTTTTACCAAAAATCGACTACACCAAAATTTCTCGGGAAAACACTTTTTCTTATTAATTTTGGTGAGTAGAATCCAAAACAATTCGTACTTTTTCGATCAGACTTCTCAATCAAAAGTTATAGACTAGAAACCAATTTCGAAAGAAAATTTAAAGGGCTGTAACTTTTGAACTAGTAGCCCAATCTTGGAACTGTTTGAAATTATGGATTCTATAGGCCACATTCTATAAGAAAATTTTTTTCCGGGTCGATCTGAGACAATTTTTTTTTCGGGGCTCAAAAAAAGGCAGTGTATAACCTTCCTTTTCTACCAAAAATCGACTGCACCAAAATTTCTCGGGAAAACACTTTTTCTTATTAATTTTGGTGCGTAGAATCCAAAACAATTCGTACGTTTTCGATTAGACCTCTCAATAAAAAGTTATGGACAAAAAACAAATTTCGAAAAAAAATTCAAAGGGCTGTAAGTTTTGATCTAGTAGCCCAATCTTCAAACTGTTTGAAATTATGGATTCTACGGGCCAAATTCTATACGAGAATGTTTTTTCCCGGTCGATGGCAGACAATTTTTTTTTCCGGCATCAAAAAAAGGCAGTACTTTTATGTTATTCAAATATTTGAGAACAATTTAGAAATGTTTAGGGAAAGTTTCCATTGTCACAAAATCAAATATAAAAATCCGATACATCTGAATACCGAAGTCGATAGTCTACGTAACTTAAAAACAATAGGGACCTTTCTTATATTCTTAAGACCATGTGTACCAATTTTCAAAGCGATCGCACGTTTCTAAACAAACTATTATGCACACGTACAAACGGATGGTCAAAAATGGATTTGTTCCAAAATCGCTAGGATTAGGTAATTTAAGAAAGGCGTACGTATCATGTGCACGATGTACGATCGCTTTGAAAACTGGTACACGTATTCTTAAGGATATAACTGGTATATGAAAGGTCCTGGTAGGTACCTCCTATATAATAATACAGTAATAATAATACGCTTAAATTTGTATATAACAATAGAAGTATAAAAAAAGCTAACCCCATACAAAGTATAACTTGATTTTTTAAGTAGTATATTAAAACTTTTATCTAGTATACTATTTTAAATTTTTAATGTATTTGAGTGACAAGTATTCGAATACCTTTGATAGTATTAGAATAGAATACTTTTGAATATACTTTGAATATACTTTTCAATATATCTGTATCTAGTATTCGCTTGTGCTGGACGTAAAAGCATTTAGTATTCAAATACCTTTGATTTGTGTAATGTATTTACTATTTAGTATTCAATTCAAATACTTTTTGAAAGTATTCTGCCCAGCTCTGGTTGGGTGTAGGTAGAGGGAGGAAAGAGGAGAATAGAAGTAAGTGATTTTAAATATTTAGGATATCGGATGCAACGAAATAATGCAGCAACTTCACATAGAAGGGAATTAAGGAAAAAGGGGGTTTCGGATGAAGTGGAAGTAATACAAGGAAGGTGCTGGGACACTAAATTACATATTAGAGGAAGAAATAAAAATGGAGAAGGTAAGGACAAAGAAGAGAAGGTAAATTGGAGCAAAAGTGTCTGTCAACGGGGATGGATACAAAAGGAAAATGATGGGAACAAAAACATTTATGAAAGATAGGAGCGAAATAGGGAAAAAGATAGAAGAGGAATTTACAAAAAGAGACCAAGATATACAAGTGCAGCAAAAGAGAGAGAAAAAAAACAAAATAGGACCGAAAGGTACAGGGAACTAATAACCGGGGGGAGGAAAAACATTAAACTAATAGCGAGGTTCAGATGCGGAAACGAGGAGAAACGATAGGAGAAATGGAGAGAATAAGAATGAAGAAAATGGCGGGGGAAGAAAAGAAAAAAGGATGAAGGGGATAATAGAAAAAAAACAGAAATCTACTAACCTTTGACCAGATTGGTTGAGCGTTGGCGAAGTTCTTGACGCCCTGAAACTGTGCAAACTTTTACGTTTAATAAAATAATCAGTCTTCGGCAATTATGTATATAAAACTAAGTCATCGACATTATTAACAGAACAAATGCGAAAAGCGAAGCGTCAACGAAAACGTCCTAGTGGTCAATTATCGAAGGTTCCTCAGCGCAAAAGTACGAATTCTGCATCGAGTACAAGCGATCTATCGGATTGATGTCCAAGTGAACGGAGTGCGTTACGACATTTTTGTGCGCGGGTGGTGGCGTTAAGAACATGGAAAGCTGACCGGAATCCAGACTGGCGAAGGGAAAACCGACGTAGCCACTCTGAAACTTGTCAACGCCGCCGGTAAGACCTGAAATGTAGTTTGGTTTATAATGAATAAAGGGGGGAGGGGGGGATTTTTTACCGGAACTGGACAGGTGATGACCTCCGTCGGGTTTGAAGAAGGCCCCATTGCTGTCCTGCTCCTCCTTTATGTTCAGGAATAGGTTACTCTCTTGTTTTATACTGGAGAAAACGTCCTTCCCCGTCTCTGAGTCGCTGCAGCTGTCATTCAGGAAAGCCGCTGGACCTGAGCAAACACCTGGAAGTGCGTCTTGTATTGGATACCGATACTCACTTTGTTCTTCTTCTTTAACGCCTATCTTCTTGTCGTCGTCCAAGTCACCGCCCAGCTTTTCCTGGCCGGCCTTCTTTTTCATCTTCTTCATCTTCGCCCTTTGGTTTTGGAACCACACCTGTACGATTCTAATGCTAAGGCCGGTGTCTTTGGCGAGCGCCTCGCGCACTTTTCTGCAGGGCTTCGGGCTGACTTCAAAAGACGCCTTGAAGGCTCGACGCTGCTGGGTGGTCAGAATCGTACGCGGTCTCTTGGGCCCCCTGCGTCCGTCGACGGATCGGGGCGACGGTATTATTTCGTCGCAGAAGTACTCGCTGTGCGAGTAGCCCTGCAGCATCTCCACCTCCTTTTCGTAGTCGGGCTTGCAGAGCACCTGGCCCTGCTTGAAGACGTAGTGATCGCCCTTTTGTAGGCGCATACCGCAGACGACGCACGCGAAGCAGCGGACGTGGAAGACGCTTTCGCAGGTACGCATCACCAGCTCCTCGGGCGTGATCCGTTCCGAGCATCCGAAGCACTTTTTCACGTACAACCTGAAATGAAAGAATATTGTTATTTGTCCGGCGGTCCTCGCTATTTACACAACGGTCGCGTACGTCTTTTTCAGTGACAACGACGAATGGACCCGGGCGCACGTGCTGTCCTCGGGGTCAGGATATTGCCGCCGTCGTCGTTCCCTAAACAAACATTTTCCCGTCATTATTTTGAATGTTCCATCGGTGAGAACCGCTCGACGCAGAAATTGAAAGTAATTGAGGGCTCGTATATGAAAACTTTCTTGCGTATTTCCGATTGTTTGCGTTGGGAAAACGTCTCGTATCAATGTCACTCGTATTTCAACTCAAATATTTAATCTGGAAGAAAGTTTTCTACTTTGCGGAGCGAGTTTTGCCCTCGGTTTAACTTTTTAAAGGGCGAATAGCGTCTCAAAGACGACTTTCCTATTCGTCTTTGTTGGCAGTTGATTTGATTCAAAGGCGAAGAGGAGAACCTCTTGCGCCATTTCACCTTTTGTGCAAGTCACTCCTGTTTCCTATGACCACATCACCAGCAAAGTAAAGAAAGTACTAATCAATAAGTACGGATGTCATATATCTATATAATCTCTATTGTTAAAACAATGAATAAACGACGTTCGAGAATTTTCTAGAAGCAAATAGAATTGTGTTTAGTTTTAGTCTTAACATCGATGTTACAGTGATAAATTTGTAAGGTAAATCCGAATTCGTAGTTAAATTTAAGTGTTATAAATGTGATTGCTAGTAAATGATAAATAATAATTGTCACTCTTATAAGTCAATGTAATTCAGCACCGTTTTATATTTTGCTTATCATTAATAATAATAAATAAACATTTAGATAAATCACAATTTAAGTTATGCCAGTAGTGACTAGATCCGTATCAGAAAAAATGGAACACCTGCTGTAAAAAATAAGAGGTACGCATTAAGATGGGATATAGATTGTCCAATATAAGATTAATACGCTAGAAAGTGAAATGAAAATAAATACAATTTGCGTTATCGCGTGAAGAACACGATAAAGGCATGAAAATCACAGTGGCCCACCTACTTGAGACCTAATATGTGCGTTACGTGTAGGCGCGTTAGATATTTTGCGTAACGTTTCAGAACACCCTGTACATATGCTGTTTATGAATGTGTCGTGTTAAACAAACTTTCTATTTTAATTTCCGACATCAACCGGATTTGAGATTGACTGAGGGTTTCGCTGTACTATAATCAAAAGCGGTAGCAAGTATTTTTGTACAGGGTGACTCAATAAGACTGTTCCTCGCTCATATCTCGGGAACCATTCGCCGTATGGCTTACGAGTAAAAAAATTATTGGGTAAATCGGTTATGAAGAATCGCTGGAAAATATTTTCAAGTTCTAAAAATGACCAACAGAGGGCGTAACTGCCATCTTAAATTTTAAAATTGCATTTTCTTTAAATTTCGCATAATAAACTAAACATTCTTTTTTCACATTTTTAAAGAGAACCAGTTTATCTATCATTTTTGTAAAAACAAAAACTCAGTTATTTCAAAAACAAAGATGGCGTGGGGCGTTCAATTGTTTTTGCAATAACCTGCTTTAACTTCTTAACCGTTTGACCGATTGTAACAAATTTGGTATCGTTGAAAAGAGCATTCCTTGGGCAACAAGAATCAACCAAAATATAGTTAATTTAGTTGAATCCTTCTCCGCCAGGGGGCTAGTTTTGACACTATGATCCAAAATCCTAAAAAAATCAAATGGAATGATATGACTTTTTCTTTATGAAAAAGTAGCCAAATAACATCCAAAGAGGCCAGTGAAAACCGTTTTTCAAAATCTCGTTCCTAACCTCAAATATTGGGAAAATGAGATTAATTAATTAATTAAAAAATGCTTAAATTGTATCTTATTTGACGTATTTCCGGTATTTGTCGATGGCGCGAAAGATTGTTTGGAAAAGGACCCTACACTTTTAGGTAGGCCTTGGAAAATTAAACAAATGAAACACGATGCATTATAAAATAATAACAGCCGTAATTTGTAAATTATTCTGCTGTGTTTACATTCAGAGAGTGCAGTTTTTTGAATTTGTAATCTTTTTTAAAATTCCTATTTCTAACCAAGAAGCATTTAATATGCTGGCGGCGATGGTTCGTGGTCGATTCGGATAACGCAAATAGAAGATGCGGGCAGCGATGGTCGCATTTTGAAAATACTCAAAATATATCGCCAGCATATTAAATGCTTCTTGGTTAAATCGGCATTTTAGAAAAGATTACAAATTCAAAAAACTGCACTTTCTGAATGTAAACACAGCAGAATAATTTACAAATTACGGCTGTTATTATTTTATAATGCATCGTGTTTCATTTGTTTAATTTTCCAAGGCCTACCTAAAAGTGTAGGGTCTTTTTTCTTTCGCGCCATCGACAAACACCAGAAATACGTCAAATAAGATACACTTTAAGTATGTTGATTAATTAATTAGTTAATCTCATTTTCCCAATATTTGAGGTTAGGAACAACATTTTGAAAAACGGTTTTCACTGGCCTCTTTGGATGTTATTTGGCTACTTTTTCATAAAGAAAAAGTCAGATCATTCCATTTGATTTTTTTAGGATTTTGGATCATAGTGTCAAAACTAGCCCCTGGCGGAGAAGGATTCAACTAAATTAACTATATTGTGTTGATTTTTGTTGCTCAAGGAATGCTCTTTTTAACCATAAACCAAATTTGTTAAAATCGGTCAACCGGTTAAAAAGTTAAAGCAGGTTATTGCAAAAACAATTGAACGCCCCACACCATCTTTGTTTTTGANATTTGTACGTATTTCCGGTTTTTGTCGATGGCGCGAAAGAAAAGCACCTTACACTTTTAAGTAGGCCTTGGAAAGTTAAACAAATGAAACACGATGCATTATAACATAAGTTCTCTTTAAAAATGTGAAAAAAATTTATTAATTTATTATGCGAAATTTAAAGAAAATCCAATTTTAAAATTTAAGATGGCAGTTACGCCCTCTGTTGGTCATTTTTAGAACTTGAAAATATTTTCCAGTGATTCTTCATGACCGATTTACCCAATTTTTTTTACCCCTAAGTCATATGACGAACGGTTCTCGAGATATGGCCGAGGAACAGTCTTATTGGGTCACCACTCACCCGTTACATTTAACGCCATTTGTGGGATTCTGGACGATAAGTCAATTAATTACGTTACGACTACCTTGCTTTGCGTCAAAAGCTGGCGGCGCTAGTGAGTGGGTGTTTTAAGTTTTATTTGTGGAGAAGGTTGTACGTCCCATATTGGGTGGAATTAAAAATTAAAGTTAGTGGGAATTAGATAGTTGATAGTAGCGTGGGGCAATGCGCGTTAGGCCACGATAGAGTTCGCGTCGAGCGAAGGTTTAAGTGAACCACCCGTTTGTGCGAGTTGGTTTTACAATTTGTGAAGATTACAGATTAAACATGGGACAATATGCGTCAAGAGCCGAAGCACACTTGAATCAATCACTTTAAATTGCCACAGGATAGATCTGCGGGAACATTTGTACTCGCGTTTAGAGACTCACTGGCTTTCAATGTAAGGGAGAAATTGCTTAAGATTACCATAACCCGAACAATACCGTAATAAGCTACCAGAAATGGTGAAGATCCTAGCACAGTAGGCGATGTAACGGTTGAGAATAAATACTTGGGGTTGCGGGATAGTTGATTGAATTTTACACGACATTTATACGAGTCCCTTAATGCTGGTCTTTAGAATTTCGCGGTTTTAGGGGTTGAGTATTATGAGGTATACATGGTGGTTCCATTAGAGAGTTGGTTACTCCGAAATTTTGTTGCGTTATTGTGTTATAAGTCAACCGACCTATCGATTCATTTCCTGAGATAGCTGGTAACGCCAGTCTGGCGGGCGAATGGGTAGAGTTAATAGCTTTTACCCAAAATCGTCATGAAATCTTCATTTTCAGCCTACTTTATGTCAGGACATTTTAGTTTCCATGACAGAGGCAGTAAAATCTTTCCAGACTTCTTTTCCTGCCGCTTGTCACTTTACCGGTCGCACCTGTCACATTTTCGGCTGTACTTGCCACATTTCCAAATGTCTATAATGACATATGTCATCACTGAGATTGACATTAATCAAAAGTTCTATATGAAAATTGAAATTTTATATTAAAATACGATTTCGGATAAAATTTAATACAAAACTCGTCAGTAACTTGACTCGGAAACGAAAGTGCTCGGCCACGTACTTCAATATTTCCTCACCAGCATTTTCCTGACTTTTATATAATAACTGTTACGTGACCAAATGACTGATTCTGATTTGTTCGTTATCAGGTCATCACGCAGCCTGGGAACTGCGACCTTGCAGAAATATGATGACACCATCGCTTTTTTAAACGTGGGATCGTGAACGAGGAAAGATGCGGTTGGGACTGATTAGGCGCCATTTAGTAGGCGTATTTTGTAAAACAAAAAAAGTGGGGATTAACAGGGAGAGTTTCTTTGGAGGAATTAAGCGTTAAGCGATAGACCAAGAAAAGCGGTATCGCGAGTTCTAATCAATTAAACCTTCAGAAATCGGGCGTTAATTTGCGTGAACATCGTTACCGGAAACTTTCGCCGCAGAGTACCCGCTGTGGCAGTCTTGTACTTCGAAAGTTAGGTTGTGAAATCGGAAGTCAATCAATTTACCGATAGCAAAAGTGCAAAATCAGCGTGAATTTGAACTTATCCGTAAAATGCGTAATCCTCAAAAATTTCCCAGAAAACCAAAGCTGTCTTCTTTTGAAAGATATAGGAGTTTTCAATCTATCGTAAAACGCTAGCCGAACAACCCGTGATCGAGTCAGAGTTCTAGGAAGCTTTTCTGTATTTTATGTTTAATCTATTAGCGTGACTTTAAGGGAAACAAGTTAAAAAGTAATCGTAAACGATTTACATAAAGCGCATTTCCACATGCATTCATTTCTCATTATTTTGTAAGATGCAA